GGAGACGCTGCTGCTCAACCTGGAGTTTACCACGAAGAGGTGGGGCCTTACCATCAGCCCCACCAAAACTAAGCACGTGCCTGGGTATTTTGTACCATCGGACACTCCACCCACAACTCCCAATCAGTGATGGGGCAATTGTGGAGAGAGTGGAGAGTTTTCTATACCTGGGCAGTGTGCTTATGACTAGTTCCAGTTTGACAGCAGAGGTCTCACTCCGAATCAGTTGGGCGGCATGACCTTTTCATCAGTTGCGTAACGCTGTGTGGAAGCTATCTGGTGTGTTGCTCTACACGAAGCTTCAGGTTTTCTCAGCTTGAGTCATGCCCTCCCTTCACGTTGCAAAACGTGGACCCCCCTAATGGAACATCTTTGCTGGTTAACATTCAGGCTGGCCTGCCTACGATTAATCCTGGTTTTAACCAGGCTGAATTGTATGATGAGCTCAGATCCTCCAATGATCTGGACAAAGTCCCATCGGTGAACTCTTCCAGCAGGCAAGGCTGCGTTGGCTGGGTCATGTAGCCCGCATGCCCAGTCACTGCATGCCTAAAACAGCTTTTGTTCGGCCAGATAGAGGGGGCTAAATGGGCTCGAGAAGAGATGGAGTGATGTGGTACAGGAGCATCTGGGGCTGAGTGGACTTGCCGATGACTGATACCAGCGGTGTCAAGATCGGCCTCAGTGGAGGAGGCTCGTGAAGGACGCTACTGGGCAGTTGGAGGCAGTCGCCCTCCAACAACAACGGGGGGCGGAGGGGCGCCTGGATGGCTAAAGCACAACAAGTTGGCACTGTAGGGGGCACAGGAGGTGCATCAGCCACTCATTTCAGTTGACCCATGTAACCTGGGTCTGTCCCGTGACCTGCCAGCGGGCGTTCGACGCTTCACGTGGCCTCAACGTGCACATAGCCTGGCACAGGCGCCGTGGTGACGTCACTGCCACTTAGTGGCGAATGGTGGTTGTGTGTGCAGGCTTTAGTTGAGAGAGTGGCTGAGTAGGTGCCGTGAGTGGGTGGATGAGTGGTTGAGTTGGTGGATGAATGAATGGGTGGATGAGTGCTTGAGGGAGTGAGTGAATGGGTGTAATTGTGAAATGCACCGCTAAGTCTGCTTCTGAAGATCACCCACGACGCTGTCACTCCGCAAGAGTCCGCCCTCTTTGCGACAACCAGTCGCTCAACCACTCACTCGCATACTCCACCACTCACTCATCAAACCACTCATCCACCCACTCAACCGCTCACCCTCTCGGCTACTCAACCACTCACTCATCCAACCACTCATCCACCCACTCAACCGCTCACCCACTTACCTACGCAACCACTCACTCATCCAACCACTCATCCACCCACTCAACCGCTAACCCACTCGCCTACTCAACCACTCACTCATCCAACCACTCATCCACCCACTCAACCGCTAACCCACTCGCCTACGCAACCACTCATCCAACCACTCATCCACCCACTCAACCGCTAACCCACTCGCCTACGCAACCACTCATCCAATCACTCATCCATCCACTCAGCCGCTCACCCACTCGCCTACGCAACCACTCACTCATCCAATCACTCATCCATCCACTCAGCCGCTCACCCACTCGCCTACGCAACCACTCACTCATCCAACCACTCATCCACCCACTCAGCCGCTCACCCACTCGCCTTCTCAACCACTCACTCATCCAATCACTCATCCACCCACTCAACCGCTCACCCACTCGCCTACTCAACCACTCACTCATCCAACCACTCATCCACCCACTCAGCCGCTCACCCACTCGCCTACTCAACCACTCACTCATCCAACCACTCAGCCGCTCGCCTACTCAACCACTCACTCATCCAACCACTCATCCACCCACTCAACCGCTCACCCACTCGCCTTCTCAACCACTCACTCATCCAACCACTCATCCACCCACTCATCCATCCACTCAACCGCTCACCCACTCACTCGCATACTCAACCACTCACTCATACAACCACTCAAATATCTACGCACCGTACGTAGTCAACCGCGCTAGTCGGAAGTGTGGGGGTCAGGACAACAAACGACACTGCATCAATAACAAGCAGCATCAGCTCTAAAGTAACGAGTTCTCAATGTAGTATCGTCGTGTATAGTGTGGTGTATAGTGTAGTGTATAGCAGTGTAGTGTATAGTGTAGTGTGTAGTAGTGTAGTGTATAGTAGGGTAATGTCTCATAGTGCACTGTATTACTTCCCGCCGGGTGCTTCCCGCTCACCACTCACCCTCACCACTCACCCTCACCCTCACCACTGACCCTCACCACTCACCCTCACCACTCACCCTCACCACTCACCACACCGCCCGCACGCTGTTATTCTTTTGCCTCGGATCTTACCTTCCATCCCTTCTCCCCATTTCCCCCTTACTCCTATTACAAATTACATACTGTCTGTGTATTGTGAAGTGCCTTCCTAATAAATAGTGTTTTTCTAACATTAACCATATACTTACGACTCATCGGATTCAATAAAAAACAAAATTATATCATACAAGTAAAGTATGACCTTGAGTTTTGATTATACTGTGCTGATCTGGTTATTTCGAAAACATATGGTTAATCCATGTTTGTTTAAATTATAGAGTTAGCCTGCTAACTTTAATCTCAATTGTGTATGGTTGTTATTTTGCACACAGCGTTGATATACGGCGGTTTATTCAGGAAGATTTTGCTGTTTTTTCCTGGATGTTTCTGTCTCGCGTCGTCACTTTAAGATGTTCTTTGTTCATGTTTTTATTTGTTGCGGTTGCACCTGAGTCAAGAACTGTATGGCTCACAGGGCTATACCGAATGAATGAAACTGAAAAAAGGCACTAAATAAATGTTAACTACAATTAAATACATGTTTCTGTTTGTCTTATTGCGTATGGCACTTTTGGAGAGCTAAATGTCAATGTTCAGATCTGCTGGCAACGAAAAGGCTTCAGCAGAGAGTTTAGGCATGTCCTGTTATTCCTACATTGAAGAGACGGAGACCACACTGACTTATTATGTGGTCCATCATTTGGGTTCACAGTTCCATTGCTTATTTAGTATTACAGTTTTTATTCTCCTAAACACGTTAAATTCATACACAAAGCTTGTTACATCTATTAAACTTTTTTGTATCTGTGTATGTATATGTAAGGTTTTAAAGAGAAGTCTTGAAATATATTTTTCACCCGGGCAACGCCGGGTACTTCCGTCACAGCCAGATTAGCTGCATCAAGTGAGGCAAGGATTCAAGATGCAAGCCCTCACTTGATGCAGCTAATCTGGCTGTGACGGTCCCACCTGATGATGGAGACTTGTGTTGCCTCCGAAACGTCGTGATTTTATTGTTTTATTTTTATGAATTTTTAATTTCATTTTTTACCTACGTGGTGACTTTACCGAAAGAACTAAGAGTATGAATCCTTGCAGTCACGAAAGCTTCAAATCGAGAATCACCCTTTGTGTGTTTGTTTGCCCTCCCGTAACCCCGCGACACCTGCAAGGTCCACAACTCTGGAAGTCCCGACAAGCAGCTGCGTTTGGAGGCTTTCCCCCTCTTATTTTCTCTCCGCCTGATGAAGGCCGCTTGTGTTGCGGTCGAAACGTCGTGGGTTTTTTAACTTTTATTTTTGACTTATTTTTAGTTCTATTTTAATGTTCTATCGAGGTGACTTTACCGAAAGAACCAAAGAATATGAAGTCGAGTTTGAGTTTCTTGCGCTGAACCAATCCTGCTGATGACGTGGATCTCTCCCCCACTAGCCCCGCCCCTCCCCCACTAGCCCCTCCCCTCTCCCCCACTAGCCCCCCCCTCTCCCCCACTAGCCCCTCCCCTCTCCCCCACTAGCCCCCCCCTCTCCCTCACGAGCCCCCCCTCTCCCTCACTAGCCCCCCCCCTCTCCCCACTAGCCCCCCCTCTCCCCCACTAGCCCCCCCCTCTCCCCCACTAGCCCCCCCCTCTCCTCCACTAGCCCCCCCCTCTCCCCCACTAGCCCCCCCCTCTCCCCACTAGCCCCCCCTCTCCCCCACTAGCCCCCCCTCTCCCCCACTAGCCCCCCCTCTCCCCCACTATCCCCCCCTCTCCCCCACTAGCCCCCCCCTCTCCCCCACTAGCCCCCCCTCTCCCCACTAGCCCCCCCTCTCCCCCACTAGCCCCCCCTCTCCCCCACTAGCCCCCCCCCTCTCCCCCACTAGCCCCCCCCTCTCCCCCACTAGCCCCCCCCTCTCCCCCACTAGCCCCCCCCCTCTCCCCCACTAGCCCCCCCTCTCCCCCACTAGCCCCCCCTCTCCCCCACTAGCCCCCCCTCTCTCCCCCACTAGCCCTCCCCTCTCCCCCACTAGCCCCCCCTCTCCCCCACTAGCCCACCCCCCCCAGCCCCTCCCCTCTCCCCCACTAGCCCCCCCCCTCTCCCCCACTAGCCCACCCCCCCCCAGCCCCTCCCCCACTAGCCCCTTCCCTCTCCCCCCCAGCCCCTCCCCTCTCCCACACTAGCCCACCCCCCCAGCCCCTCCCCCACTAGCCCCTCCCCTCTCCCCCACTAGCCCCTTCCCTCTCCCCCCCAGCCCCTCCCCTCTCCCCCACTAGCCCACCCCCCCAGCCCCTCCCCCACTAGCCCCTCCCCTCTCCCCCACTAGCCCCTTCCCTCTCCCCCCCAGCCCCTCCCCTCTCCCCCACTAGCCCCTCCCTCTCCCCCACTAGCCCACCCCCCCAGCCCCTCCCCCACTAGCCCCTCCCCTCTCCCCCACTAGCCCCTTCCCTCTCCCCCCCAGCCCCTCCCCTCTCCCCCACTAGCCCACCCCCCCAGCCCCTCCCCCACTAGCCCCTCCCCTCTACCCCCCACTAGCCCCTTCCCTCTCCCCCCCAGCCCCTCCCCTCTCCCCCACTAGCCCCTCCCTCTCCCCCCCAGCCCCTCCCCTCTCCCCCACTAGCCCCCCCCACCCCGCCCCCCGCAGCCCCTCCCCGTGCGCGAGGCGGCGGCGGTCACGTGGCGCTCAGCGTTCGGTCTCCTAGCAACGCGCCCGTTGTCGTTTTAACTTTCAACGTTTTGAGACGTTCCCTTCTAACCGTGAGCTTCTCTATCGTAGAAGTTGTTGTTGTTGTTGTCATGGCTGTTGTTGTTGTTACTAGTTGTAGTATAACGTTATTGTAGCTCGTCGTTACGAGGAGACGGCTAAAGTGGTCACCCCCAGCTCAGGTAAAGTGGTGATGGTGGTGGTGGTGATGGTGATGGTGATGATGATGGTGGTGGTGGTGGTGGTGATGGTGGTGATGGTGGTGGTGATGGTGGTGATGGTGATGATGGTGGTGATGGTGATGATGGTGGTGGTGGTGATGGTGGTGATGGTGGTGGTGATGGTGGTGATGATGGTGATGGTGGTGGTGATGGTGATGGTGGTGGTGGTGATGATGGTGGTGGTGATGGTGATGGTGGTGGTGATGATGATGGTGATGGTGGTGGTGATGATGGTGGTGGTGATGGTGGTGATGGTGGTGATGGTGGTGGTGGTGATGATGGTGATGGTGGTGATGATGGTGATGGTGGTGATGATGGTGTTGAGGTGGTGGTGGTTGTGATGGTGGTGATGATGGTGATGGTGGTGATGATGGTGTTGATGGTGGTGGTGGTGGTGATGGTGGTGGTGATGGTGATGATGATGGTGGTGGTGGTGGTGATGGTGGTGATGGTGGTGATGGGGTGATGGTGATGGTGGTGATGGTGGTGGTGATGGTGGTGATGGTGGTGATGATGGTGGTGGTGTGATGGTGGTGGTGGTGATGGTGGTGGTGATGGTGGTGGTGATGGTGGTGATGGTGGTGGTGATGGTGATGGTGGTGATGGTGGTGATGGTGATGATGGTGGTGGTGGTGGTGATGGTGATGATGGTGGTGGTGGTGATGGTATTGATGGTGATGGTGGTGATGGTGGTGATGGGGTGATGGTGATGGTGGTGATGGTGGTGGTGATGGTGGTGATGGTGGTGATGATGGTGGTGGTGTGATGGTGGTGGTGGTGATGGTGGTGATGGTGCTGGTGGTGGTTGTGATGGTGGTGATGGTGGTGGTGATGGTGGCGGTGATGGTGGTGATGGTGGTGATGGTGACGGTGGTGATGGTGGTGGTGGTGGTGATGGTGGCGGTGATGGTGGTGGTGATGGTGGTGGTGATGGTGGTGGTGATGGTGGTGGTGCTGATGGTGGTGATGGTGGTGATGGTGGTGGTGATGGTGGTGGTGGTGATGGTGGTGGTGGTGATGGTGGTGATGGTGATGGTGGTGATGGTGGTGGTGATGGTGGTGGTGGTGATGATGGTGATGGTGTTGATGGTGGTGGTGATGATGGTGGTGGTGATGGTGGTGATGGTGGTGATGGTGGTAGTGATGGTGGTGGTGGTGATGGTGGTGATGGTGGTGGTGATGGTGGTGGTGGTGATGGTGGTGATGGTGGTGGTGGTGGTGATGGTGGTGGTGATGGTGGTGATGATGTTGATGGTGATGGTGTTGATGGTGGTGATGGTGGTGGTGATGGTGGTGATGGTGATGGTGGTGATGGTGGTGGTGATGGTGGTGGTGATGGTGGTGATGGTGGTGATGGTGGTGGTGGTGATGGTGGTGGTGGTGATGGTGGTGATGGTGGTGATGGTGGTGGTGGTGATGGTGGTGGTGATGGTGGTGATGATGGTGATGGTGGTGATGGTGGTGGTGATGGTGGTGATGGTGGTGGTGATGGTGGTGATGGTGGTGGTGGTGATGGTGGTGGTGATGGTGTTGATGGTGATGGTGGTGATGGTGGTGGTGATGGTGGTGGTGGTGATGGTGGTGGTGATGATGGTGGTGGTGGTGATGGTGGTGGTGATGGTGATGTTGATGGTGGTGATGGTGATGGTGGTGTTGGTGGTGATGGTGGTGATGATGGTGGTGGTGATGGTGGTGGTGATGGTGATTGTGGGTGGTGATGGTGTATCCATGTCTCCGTCTCCCCGTCCCTCCATGTCTCCGTGTCTTCGTGTCTCCGTGTTTCCATGTCTCAATGTTCCCGTGTCTCTGTGCGTGTCCCCGTTGTCTCAGGCGGCCAAGGTGCGTGATGGAGGGGACGCTGTCTCCCTGTCCGCGTGTCTCCGAGTCTCCCGTGGGATGTTTCTCCGCGGTGGCTCTCCCCCAGAACGCCGGAGTCTCCTGCGGGGTACGTGGCCTCGGTCGTTGCCGGAACAGCGCGACATTTTAGTTTATTTTGTTATACTGCAGCCAGAGAAATCTGATGGTCCATGAAGCTCTTTATGATGAGACGTCCGGTAGAGTTGGGATTTGGGTCAGGACGTTAGAACAGCAACAGCAGCAGCAGCAGCAGCAGCACCACCGTCACCACTGTCACCACCTTCACCACCTTCACCACCATCACCACTGTCACCACCACCGTCACCGCCACCGTCACCACCACCGTCACCACCACCGTCACCACCGTCACGATCACCACCGTCACCACCACCGTCACCACCACTGTCACCACCACAGTCACCACCGTCACCATCACCACCGTCACCACCACCGTCACCATCACCACCGTCACCACCACCATCACCACCAATGTCACCACCATCACCGTCACCACCACCGTCACCACCACCATCACCACCATCACCACGGTCACCATAACCACCATCACCTCCGTCACCACCACCACCGTCATCACCACTGCCACCACCGTCACCACCATCACCACTGTCACCACCGTCACCATCACTACCACCATCACCACCACCATCACCACCACACACAATCACCACCACACATAATCATCACCACTACCACACGCAATCATCACCACCACCACACATAATCACCACCATCACCACCACCATCATGGTGTAGGTGGTGGTGTAGGTAGTATAGGTGGTGTAGGTGGTGGTGGTGGTGTAGGTGGTGGCGGTGTCAGTGGTGGTGGTAGTGTAGGTGGTGATGGTGGTGGTGATGGTGTACGTGGTGGTGATGGTGTTGGTGCTTGGTATAGGTGTTGTAGGTGGTGTTGTAGGTGGTGGTGGTGATGGTGTAGGTGGTGGTGTTAGTGATGGTGTAGGTGGTTGTGTAGGTGGTGGTGTAGGAGGTGGTGTAAATAATAATGGTGTAGTTGGTGATGTAGGCAGTGGTTGTGTAGGTGGTGGTTGTATTGGTGGTTGGTATAGGTGCTGTAGGTGGTGGTGGTGTAGGCGGTGGTTGTGTAGGTGGTGGTTGTATTGGTGGTGGCTAAAGCACAGCAAGTTGGCACAGTAGGGGGCACAGGTGGTGCATCAGCCAGTCATCTCGGTCATCTCAGTCAGTCGACCCATGGCACCTGGGTCTGCCCCGTGACCTCTTGCCAGCGGGCGTTCGACACTTCACGTGGCCTCAAGGTGCACAATGCCTGGCACAAGTGTCGTGGTGACGTCACCGCCACTTAGTGGCGAATGGCGGTTGTTGTTGTTGTGTATTGGTGGTGGCGATGGTGTAGGTGGTGGTTGTATTGGTGGAGATGGTGTAGGTGGTGGTATAGGTGGTGTAGGTGGTGGTGTAGGTGGTGGTGGTGTCGGTGATGGTGCAGGTGGTGGTTGTATGTCTGTGCTGTCCCGTCGCTGTTTCAGGATGTCCCACGGACGTCACAAGGCCGACACGCGTTGCTGGGAACAACAACCACGCACAGACACACACCCTGCGGTGAGACACACACAGAGACACGCACACTCAGAGAGACAAAGAGAGACACGCACACGCAGAGACACGCACGCGCAGAGACACGCACACACAGAGGCCGATCTTGACACCGCTGGGACCAGTCATTGGCAAGTCCACTCTTCTCTAGCCCGTGCCATTCACCCACTCACTCACCCACCCACTAACTCACCCACTCATTAACTCACCCACCCACTAACTCACCCACTCATTAACTCAAACACTCACTAACTCACTCACCCACCCACCCACTTTCTAACTAACTCCCGAACTCACTCACCCACTCACTCAAGCATTCACTAACTCACCCACCCACCCACTCACTTACCCACTCACTAACTCACCCACTCATTAACTCAAACACTCACTAACTCACCCACCCACCCACTTTCTAACTAACTCACGAACTCACTCACCCACTCACTCAAGCATTCACTAACTCACCCACCCACTCACCCACCCACTCACTTACTTACCCACTCACTAACTCACCCACTCACTAACTCACCCACCCACTCACCCACCCACTCACTTACTTACCCACTCACTAACTCACCCACTCACTAACTCACCCACCCACTCACCCACTCACTAACTCACCCACTCACTAACTCACCCCCTCACTCACCGACACACTAACTTACCCACTCACTAACTCACCCCCTCACTCACCCACTCACTAACTCACCCACTCATTAACTCACCCACTCACTAACTCACTCACTAAATCACCCACCTACTCACCCACCCACTCACTTACTTACCCACTCACTAACTCACCCCCTCACTCACCCACTCACTAACTCACCCACTCATTAACTCACCCACTCACCAACTCACTCACTAAATCACCCACCTACTCACCCACTCACTTACTTACCCACTCACTAACTCACCCACTCACTAACTCACCCACCCACTCACTAACTCACCCACCCACCCACTCACTTACCCACTCACTAACTCACCCACTCACTAACTCACCCACCCATTCACCCACCCACTCACCCACTCACTAACTCACCCATCAGCTCCACCTCTTCTCCAGCCCGTGCCGTGCGGGCTACGTGACCCAGTCAATGCAGAGACGCCCCCTGTCCTTCTCTCTCATCTCCCACCTTCGTGGCTGCTCTGCCATAGTTGGCTCGCTGCTGCCGCCTCTGACGATGGATTTGGAGGTGGAGGTGGATGGGAAGGAGGTGGAGGAGGAAGAGGAGGAGGAGGGGGTCGTGGTGGGAGTCACCACCGCCAGGGTGGCTGCCGCAGACTTCACTGAGCGACGCTTCCAACCCAAGCTGCAGGTGGCACTCACACAGCCACCTGGAGACTGCCCCAGACGCCTGCAGGTGGAGAGGTAAGGGGGGGTGGTGGTGGTGGTGGGGGTGGTGGTGGTGGTGGGGGTGGTGGTGGGGGTGGTGGTGGGGTGGTGGTGGGGGGGTGGGGGTGGTGGTGGTGGTGGTGGGGGTGGTGGTGGGGGGGTGGGGGTGGTGGTGGGGGTGGTGGGAGTGGTGGTGGGTGTGGTGATGGTGGGGGTGGTGGTGTGGGGATGGTGGTGGTGGTGGGGTGGTGGGGGTGTGGTGGGGTGGTGGTGGTGGTGGGGGCAGTGGTGGTGGGGGTGGTGGAGGTGGTGGTGGGTGTGGTGGGGTGGTGGTGGGGTGGTGGTGGTGGGGGTGGTGGGGGTGGTGGTGGGGGTGGTGGTGGGGGCGGTGGTGGTGGGGGTGGTGGTGGGGGTGATGGTGGGGGTGGTGGTGGGGGCGGTGGGTGTGGTGGTGGGGGTGTGGTGATGGTGGGGGTGGTGGTGGGAGTGATGGTGGGGGTGGTGGTGGTGGGGTGGTGGGGGTGGTGGGGTGGTAGGGGTGGTGGGGTGGTGGGGGTGGTGGTGGTGGTGGGGGTGTTGGTGTGGGGGTGGTGGTGGTGGTGGTGGTGGGGGTGTGGTGATGGTGGGGTGGTGGTGGGAGTGATGGTGGGGTGTGGGGGTGGTGGTGGAGAGGGTGGTGGGGTGGTGGGGGTGGTGGGGTGGTGGTGGTGGGGGCGGTGGTGGTGGGGGTGGTGGGGTGGTGGGGGTGGTGGTGGGGGTGTTGGTGTGGGGGTGGTGGTGGGGGTGGTGGTGGGGTGGTGGTGGTGGTGGGGGTGGGGTGGTGGTGGTGGCGGTGGTGAGGGTGGTGGTGGTGGGGGTGGTGGTGATGGTTGAGGTGGTGGTCATGGTGGTAGCGGTGGGGGTGGTGGGTGTGGTGGGTGTTGTGGTGGTGTGGGTGGTATGGGTGGTGGTGCGGGTGATAGTGCTGATGGGGGTAGTGATGGTCGTGGTGGTGGGGGTGGTGGTGGGGGTGGTGTGATGGTGGGGGTGGTCGGGGTGGTGGGGGTGGTGGGTTTGGAGGGGGTGGTGGTGGTCGGGGTGGTGGGAGTGGTGGGGGTGGTGGCGGTGGTGGTGATGGTGGAGGTGGTGGAGGTGGTGGTCATGGTGGTGGCGGTGGTGGTGGGTGTGGTGGTGGTGGGTGTTGTGGTGGTGAGGGTGGTAGGGGTGGTGGTACGGGTGATGGTGCTGATGGGGGTAGTGATGATGGTGATCATGAGTGTCCGATAAAACAACCCCCTACCTCTTCGTTGGTGCCTGACGGCAACGCTGCGGTGAGCAGCATTGCCATGGGGGGAGGGCAAATTTAGATTGGTCATTCCCCTCATGGCGTTTGTAGCCACCACAGTGGCCAAAGGGGGCTCTGAACGGGTGCGAGGGACTGGTCACCCCTCCACCTTCAAATACATTAACACTATCCACGAAAAGAATATCTCTTGGCCAAACCCCATTTGGTGGAGCCAGGAGACTGAATCTTTTTCCTCGGGGTTCCTCCAGAAACCGCAAAAGCCACTGCAGGTGGCCATGTCGAACGCTCACTGCGGAGGAGAGGCTGCTACTCTGTCGGGAGCTGGACCCGTTCCGCATAAATCTCTGTGGTATTCAGGAGGTCCGGTGGACCGGCTCTGGCTCCTGCCACCATGAGGGGTGGACAGTCCTCTACTCGGGGCAGGAGACTGCCAAACAACAGGGAGTGGCTTTTCTTCTGAACAAAAGAATGAAGGGGGCGTGGGAGCGTGGCGGTGAGGTGTGGGAAGCTGTAAGCCACAGGCTACTTTGGGCTCGCCTTCCCATCAACCAGAGGCGAGGAATGGTGGTCGTGGTTACTTATGCCCCCACCGAAGATGAACATCAGTGGCGAGATGCAGGCAAGGCTGATGAGTCAGATGCCTTCTATGACCTCCTGTCACAGGTGCTGGCTAAAGTGGCCCCTCGGGATAGAGTCATCTTGTTGGGTCACTTCAATGCCCGAGTTGGTCATGATGCTGGCACCTGGTCTGGAGTGATTGGAGGGCATGGGCCAGATCAGCTCAATAACAATGGTAGGAGGCTGCTATATTTCTGTGCAGCCCATGGTCTTGTAATTACCAACACGCTGTTCCGGCATCGGCGCATCCACACAACATCATGGATGCATGCTGGGTCCAAGTGACGGAACAGTGGATGCAGGCCCATGTCCTTGATACCAGGATGTACCGTGGAGCTGATTTGCCCACTGACCATCGACTTGTCATCTGTAAGATGCACCTGCCATTCTTCCACTCCGGTGGTGGGTGTACACCCAGGACCCTATTCAAACCCATGGTGACCTAGTCTCAGCTTGCTGTTGATAGTTGCAAACGAGAATTTCATCATTGCTTTAGGCTGGGGTTAGCATCGTCCCCCACTCCTCCTGATGTCGAGGGGAAATGGGCGAGGTTTAGGATTGTGGGTCATGCAGCTGCAATGGCTGCAATTGGGTAAACGGTCCAGACCTCCCCAAAGACCCTCGCTGGCTGAGAAAAAGCGACAGGCCCATTCTCATGGTCTACAGCATCCCACGTCAGAGAATGAGGAGGCTTACCGCAGCCTTCACTCCGAAGTTTGGAGAGCCGTGAGGCGCTGCAAGGATGGGTGGTGGTCACGGGTTGCTGAGGAGATGGAGTCTGCCTCAGTGGCCCACGATCACACATCGCTCTTTAACTCCATCAAAAAGTAACTTGCAGCGCCACACCTATTACCATCGTTATGGGAAAGAACGGTGATGCAATCTCTGACCTCCAGGAACAGGTATTCAGATTTGATGACCAAAATAAAGCTATAAAAACAATGTAACAGTTCCTATGATCACTGTTACATTGTTTTTATAGCTTAATTTTAGTGATTTCGAAAACGTTTTGGTTTAGCCATATTTGTTTGTTGTAGTACAGAGTAAGACTGATGCTTTTAATCTATATTATGTTATGGTTGTTATTGTTTGGCTTGCATTCCACTGGGATTTTTGCACACAGCATTGATATACGGTGCCTTACCATCAGCCCCACCAAAATGAATCACCTGCCTGGGTATTTTGTACCGTCAGACACTCCACCACCATAACTCAATTGGTGATGGGGCAGTTGTGGAGAGAGTGGAGAGTTTCCCATACCTGGGCAGTGTGCTCATGAGCGGCTCTGGTTTGACATCAGAGGTCTCACTCCGAATTAGTCGAGCGGCATTATCTTTTCATCGGTTGTGTAACGCTGTGTGGAAGCTACCTGGTCTGTCACTCCACATGAAGCTTCAGGTCTTCTTGGCCACAGTCATTCCCTCCCTTCTCTACGCTTGCAAAACGTGTACCACCCTAATTGAACTACTTCGCCAGTTTGAAACATTTAAGCTGGCCTGCCTACGATCCATCCTGGGTTTAACCAGGCTGGATTGTGTGAGGAGCTCACAAATCCTTAAAAGATCTTGATAAAGTCCCATCGGTGAGCTCCTCCGGCAGGCAAGGCTGCATTGTCTGGATCATGTAGCCCGCATGCCCAATCACCACATGCCTAAACAGCTTTCGTTCGACCGGATAGAGGGGGCTAAACGGACATGGCACACGCTAGAGAAGAGATAGAGTGATGTGGTACATGATGATGTGGAGCTGAGTGGACTTGCCGGTGACTGGTACCAGCGGTGTCCTCTGTGGAGGAGGCTCGTGAAGGACGCTACTGGGCAGTTGGAGGCAGTCACCCTCCAACAACAACGGGGGGCGGAGGAGCGACGCTCACAACAACGAGTGGAGCGCCGGGCGGCTAAAACAAAGCAAGTTGGCACAGTAGGGGGCACAGGTGGTGCATCGGCCAGTCATCTTAGTCAGTCGACCCATGGCACCTGGGTCTGCCCCGTGGCCTCCTGCCAGCGGGCGTTTGATACTTCATGTGGCCTCAATGTGCACATGGCCTGGCACAAGCGTCGTGGTGACGTCACCGCTACTTAGTGGCGAATGGCGGTTGTTGTTGTTGTTGACCGTGGGCGTAGAGGTGATGATGGTAGTTGTGATGGTCATGATGATGATAGTGATGATGGTAATGATGGTAGTGGTGATGATCGTGGTTATGGTGACGATGGTGATAGTGATGAGGATGGTCGTTGTGGTGATGATGATGGTGATGCTGCTGTGTCCTACAGGAGGCGTAGAGAGTTCCAGTCCCAGCGGCTGGAGACTCTGCTGAGTGAGGTTGGCGTGGAGGCGACGACGCCGCTGCTCCCCGTGGCACCCCGTGCGGTGTACAGAGCTATGAGGGGGGCAGGGAGCGGCGGATACCCCCCATTCCTGCCGCTCGAGGTGACCGGGAGACACAGAGAGACACGGAGAGACACAGAGAGACACAGACAGAGACACACACAGAGAGACACAGAGAGAGACACACACAGACAGAGAGACACACACATGCAGAGACACAGAGAGACAGAGACACACACACAGAGAGACACATACGCAGAGACACAGAGAGACACAGACAGAGACACGCACACAGAGAGACACATACGCAGAGACACAGGGAGAGACAGAGAGAGACACACAGACACACATACACGCAGAGACAGAGAGATACACACAGAGACACAGACACACACACACACACGCAGAGACACAGACACACACACACAGAGACACACACAGAGACACAGAGAGAGAAACACACAGAGACACAGCCACACACAGAAACACACACACAGCCACAGAGGGAGAGACACACACAGAGACACAGACATACACAGACATTCTGTGTGGAGATGTTTGACGATGAGAAGGGTGAGTGGGTGGGTGAGTGGGTGGGTGAGTGGGTGAGTGAGTAGGTGGGTGAGTGTGTGGGTGAGTGGGTGAGTGAGTGGGTGAGTGGATGGGTGAGTGGGTGAGTGGATGTGTGGGTGAGTGGGTGGTTGAGTGAGTGGGTGGGGAGGTGAGTGGGTGGGGGAATGAGTGGGTGGGGGAGTGAGTGGGTGGGGGAGTGAGTAGGTGAGTGTGTGAGTGTAACAGCACTTGCCCCGACAGTCTGTTGAGGCTACACTGGGGATCTTTGCCTATGCCTGTATGTCTCTGCAGGTGTTTGACGATGAGGAGAGTGAATGTCGAACTCCGGAGGAGTGGCTCTCCCTGGGCCTGGATTTGGAATCCGGACTCCGCAAGCCGGTTCCGGCCCGGGCTTTCCTCCCATTGGACGAGAAGAGAAAATCCGGTGAGGATGGACACAGACAGACAGAAAGACACAACAACAACAACCGTCATTCGCCGCTAAGTGGCGGTGACGTCACCACGACGCTTGTGCCAGGCCATGTGCACCTTGATGCCACGTGAAGTGTCGAACGACCGCTGGCAGGAGGTCACAGGGCAGACCCAGGTGCCACGGGTCGACTGACTGAGATGACTGGCTGATGCACCACCTGTGCCCCCTACTGTGCCAACTTGCTGTGGTTTAGCTACCCGGCGCTCCGCTCGTTGTTGTGAGCGTCGCTCCTCTGCCCTCCGTTGTCTTGGCTGTCCGTGGGGGTGCTGGACTATGATACATCACTGTCTCTTACCTTGTCTCTGTCTCACTCTTACCGTGTCTCTCTCACCGTGTCTCTCTCGCACCGTGTCTCTCTCTCACCGTGTCTCTCTGCCTGTGTCTTGTAGCGATGTCTTGGCTGTCCGTGGGGGTGCTGGACTACGACCACTCTACGCGGCTCTACCTGGTGCAGCGTGCCGATGCCAGCGGCCGTGTCCGCTTGGCCCTCAAGGGTGAGCCAATCCAGCGGCCCTCGATCCATCACTTGATCGATCGATTGATAATATAATCAATGAATCACTGTTTCATATCACAGCACCCTTCACTCGCTCACCCACTCACTCACCCACACACCCGCCCACCCACCTACTCAACCACCCACTCACCCACACACCCACTCACTCACTCATCCACTCACTCACCCACACACCCACACACCCACTCACTCACCCACACACCCACCCACCCACCTACTCAACCACCCACTCACCCACTCACTCACTCATCCACTCACTCACCCACACACCCACTCACCCACTCACTCACCCACACACTCACCCACTCACTCACCCACTCACCCACCCACTCACTCACCCAGTCACTCACTGACCCACCCACTCCCCGACTCACCCACCCACCCCCTCCCCCAGGTGCCCCCCCCTCCCACCGTGCCTGGTTGCCCCGCGTGTTGGTGGCGTTCCACGCTGAGGACCCTCGCCGCTTTGCCGCTCGTGTCGCACGTGCCGCGTCGGCGCGCCGGGACGCTGAGGCGGCGCTGCTCCACTCCCTCGCGCTCGACTGCGTGCCACCACCACCACCCTCGCCACCACCATCGGCACCACCACCATCCTCGCCACCACCATCCTTGCCACCACCACTCCGCACGGCCGCTGGACTGGGGGTCGCGGCGGAGGGCGGTGGCGGCGGCGGCGGGGAGATGCGAGCGCGCGTGACGGCACGCGTGGGAGCACTCATGGGCAGAGCCGGGTGAGACGGAGAGGGACAAGGGGAGAGACACGGAGAGATACGGAGAGTCACGAGAGAGACACGGAGAGAGAGACACGGAGAGAGAGACACGGAGAGACACGGAGAGACACGGAGAGAGAGATACGGAGAGAGAGACACGGAGAGAGAGACACGGACAGACACGGAGAGTCACGGAGAGAGAGACACGGAGGGAGAGATGGAGAGAGACACGGGGAGAGACACGGAGAGAGAGACACGGAGAGATGGAGAGAGACATGGGGAGAGAGACACGGACAGACACGGAGAGACACGGAGAGTCACGGAGAGAGAGAGACACGGAGAGATGGAGAAAGACATGGGGAGAGACACGGAGAGTCACAGAGAGAGACACGGAGAGACACGGAGAGTCAAGGAGAGAGAGACACGGAGAGAGAGACACGGACAGACACGGAGAGAGAGACACGGAGACATGGGGAGAGACACAGAGAGTCACGGAGAGAGAGACACAGAGAGATGGAGAGAGACATGGGGAGAGACATGGAGAGTCACGGAGAGAAAGACACGGAGAGAGACACGGAGTGATGGAGAGAGACACGGAGAGTCACGTAGAGAGAGACACGGAGAGAGAGACATGGAGAGATGGAGAGAGACATGGGGAGAGACACAGACAGAGAGACACGGAGAGTCACAGATAGAGACACGGAGAAAGAGAGACATGGAGAGTCATTGAGAGAGACACGGAGAGAGAGAGAGAGACATGGAGTGTCTTTATGAGTATGTGAGTGTCTGTGTAAGTGACTGTATGAGTGAGTGTATGAGTGAGATATGAGTGAGTGTGTGAGTGCATGTATGAGTGTCTGTGCGAGTGACTGTATGTATGAGTTAGTGTATGTGTGAGTGTTGTATGAGTGACTATGTGTGATTGAGTGTATGAGTGAGTGAGTGTATGAGTGAGTGTGTAAGTATGAGTGAGTGTATAAGTGAGTGAGTGTATGAGTGAGTGTGTATGAGTGAGTGTATGAGTGAGTGAGTGTATGAGTGAGTGAGTTGGTGCCGGATGGTAAAGCTGTGATGAGTAGTGCCATGGGGGGAGGGCCAATTTTGATAGACCATTCCTCTCGTGGCATTTGTAGCCACCACAGCGGCCAAAGGGGGCTCTGGATGGGTGCAAGGGGCTGGTAACACCTCCACCTTCAAATAAATTAACGCTATCCACGAAAAGAATATCTCCTGGCCAAACCCCATTTGGCGGAGCCAGGACACTGAATCCTTACCCTCGGGGTTCCTCCAGAAACAGCAAAAAGCCACCATGGGTAGCCACGTGGAATGTTCAAACGCTCATGGCGGAGGAGAGGCTGCCGCTCCTCTGTCGGGAACTGGACCGGTACCGCTTGGATCTCTGTGGTATTCAGAAGGTCCGGTTGACTGGTTCTGGCTCCTGCCACCATGAGGGGTGGACAGTCCTCCACTCGGGGCAGGAGACTGCCAAACAACAGGGTGTGGCTCTTCTTCTGAACAAAGAATGAAGGGGGCGTGGGAGCGTGGCGGTGAGGTGTGGGAAGCTGTAAGCCCCAGGCTACTTTGGGCTCGCCTTCCCATCAACCGGAGGCGAGGAGTGCTGGTCGTGGTTACTTATTCCCCCACCGAAGACGAACATCCATGGAGGGATGCAGGCAAAGTCGATGAGTTGGGTGACATTAATGCCCGAGTTGGTCATGATGCTGGTACCTGGGCTGGAGTGATTGGAAGGCATGGGCCAGATCAGCTCAATAACAACGGTATGAGGTTGCTAGACTGTTATACAGCCCATGGACTTGTAATTATCAGCACGCTGTTCTGGCATCGCCGCATCCACACAACATCATGGATGCATGCCAGGTCCAAGCAAGAACATCTACTGGACTATATATTGATGGAACAGCAGATGCGGGCCCATGTTCTTGACACCAGAACCTACCGTGGAGCTGATTTTCCCACTGACCATCGACTTGTCATCTGTAAGATGCACCTGCCATTCTTCCACTCCGCTGGTGGGTGTACACCCAGGACCCTATTCAAACCCATAGTGGCCCAGTTTCAGCTCGCTGATGGAAGTTGCATGCGAGAATTTCATCATCGTTTGCAGCTGATTTCCAAGGGAAATGGGTGAGGTTTAGGACTGTGGCTCATGTAGACCTCCCCAGAGACCCTGGCTAATAAAGGAGGTGTTTAGGCTGGCTGAAAAAAAGCGATAGGTCCACTCTCATCGTCTACAGCATCCCACATCAGAGAATGAGGAGGCTTACCGCAGCCTTCGCTTGGAAGTTCGGAGAGCTGTGAGGTGCTGCAAGGATGGGTGGTGGTCGCGGGTTGCTGAGGAGATGGTAATAGGTGCAGTGCTACACCTATTACCATCATTAGGAGAAAGAACGGTGATCAAATCTCCGACCCCCAGGAACAGGTTTGCAGATTTTCTGATCATTTCTGTGAGGTCCTGGAAAACATCATGGGGCAAAGTGGGGATGACCCTGCTGAGGCTGCGGTGCCTCTGTTGAGAAAGTACTGTTGAGGGAGCGTGGCGTTTGTGCACAGACTGCCTACATGACATCATAATAACAGTCTGAACCACTGGATGGGTTCCGCAGGATTGGAAGGATGCCCTGGTGGTCCCCCTCTTTAACAAGGGGGAACGCACAGACTGTAACAACTACAGGGGCATATCACTCCTCAGTGTGCCCGGAAAGGTCCTGGTAATAATTATTCAACATCGCCTTGCCAGGCACGCTGAGGAGAGGCTTGCCGAGCCCCAATGTGGTTTCAGGAAAGGGCGGTCCTGCACAGATGCCATATTTTGTGTCTGTCTGCTACAGCAGAGGTGTAGGGAATTCCAAAAAGACCTACATCTCTGCTTTATTCACCTGGTCAATGCCTATAATTTCATCAGTATGAGTGAGTGTATGAGTGAGTGTGTGGCTGTGTTGTTGCTGCTTCAGACTGGAGGGGTGTGTGTATGAGTGTGTGAGTGAGTGTATGAGTGAGTGTATGAGTGAGTGTGTGAGTGTGTGTATAAGTGAGTGAGTGAGTGTATGAGTGAGTGTGTGTATAAGTGAGTGTATGAGTGTATGAGTGTATGAGTGTGTGTATAAGTGAGTGTGTGAGTGAGTGTCTGTATGAGTGAGTGTATAAGTGAGTGTATGAGTGAGTGTATAAGTGTGTGGCTGTGTTGTTGTTGCTTCAGGCTGGAGGGGTGTGTGGAGCGTCTCTGGCTGGAGGTCTCCGTTCAGCACGCCGGGGCGCTGATCCGCCTCCAGTTCCACCACCTGGTGGCCTCCTCGCCGCAGCGCTACCCCTTCGTCTGCACGCCAACGGCGCCGCCACGACCAGTGGCACCGCTCGCTCACGCAGCAGGTGAGGGGCCGGGTGGGAGAGTGGGTGGGTGGGTGAGTGGGTTGGTGGGTGGGTGGGTGGGTGAGTGAGTGGGTGGGTGGGTAGGTCGGTGGGTGGGTGGGTGGGTGAGTGAGTGGGTGGGTGGGTGAGTGGGTGGTTGGGTGGGTGAGTGAGTGGGTGGGTGAGTGGGTGAGTGGGTGGGTGGGTGAGTGAGTGAGTGAGTTGGTGGGTGGGTGGGTGGGTGAGTGGGTGGGTGGGTGGGTGGATGGGTGAGTGAGTGAGTGAGTGGGTGAGTGGGTGGGTGGGTGAGTGGGTGGGTGATTGACTGGGTCAGTGAGTGGGTGAGTGGGTGGGTGAGTGGGTGGGTGGGTGAGTGGGTGGGTGGGTGAGTGGGTGGGTGGCCTCCTCGCCTCAGCGCTACCCCTTCGTCTGCACACCGGCGCCGCCAGCACCAGTGGCACCGCTTGCTCACGCGGCAGGTGAGGGGCCGGGTGGGAGAGTGGGTGATTGACTGGGTCAGTGGGTGGGTGTGTGGGTGGGTGGGTGGGTGAGTGGGTGGGTGAGTGGGTGAGTGGGTGGGTGGGTGGGTGAGTGGGTGGGTGGGTGGGTGAGTGGGTGGGTGAGTGGGTGGGTGAGTAGGTGGGTGGGTGGGTGAGTGGGTGAGTGGGTTAGTGGGTGAGTGGGTGGGTGGGTGAGTGGGTGGGTGAGTGGGTGGGTGAGTGGGTGAGTGGGTGGGTGGGTGAGTGGGTGGGTGGTGGGTGAGTGGGTGGGTGAGTGGGTGGGTGAGTAGGTGGGTGGGTGGGTGAGTGGGTGAGTGGGTTAGTGGGTGGGTGGGTGGGTGGGTGAGTGGGTGGGTGGGTGGGTGTGTGGGTGGGTGGGTGGGTGTGTGAGTGGGTGAGTGGGTGGGTGATTGACTGCGTCAGTGAGTGGGTGTGTGGGTGGGTGAGTGGATGAGTGGGTGGGTGGGTGAGTGGGTGGGTGAGTGGGTGATCGACTAGGTCAGTGGGTGGGTGAGTGGGTGGGTGAGTGGGTGAGTGGGTGGGTGGGTGAGTGGGTGAGTGGGTGGGTGGGTGAGTGGGTGATTGACTGGGTCAGTGGGTGGGTGAGTGGGTGGGTGATTGACTGGGTCAGTGGGTGGGTGTGTGGGTGGGTGAGTGGGTGGGTGAGTGGGTGGGTGAGTGGGTGGGTGATTGACTGGGTCAGTGGGTGGGTGAGTGGGTGGGTGGGTGAGTGAATGGGTCAGTGAGTCGGTGTGTGGGTGGGTGAGTGGGTGGGTGGGTAGGTGGGTGAGTGAGTGAGTGGGTGGGTGAGTTTTGAGTGGGTGGGTGGGTGAGTGGGCGGGTGGGTGAGTGAGCGGACGGGTGGGTGGGTGAGTGGGTGGGTGAGTGGATGGGTGGGTGAGTGAGTGGGTGAGTGGCTGGGTGAGTGGGTGGGTGAGGGGGTGAGTGAGTGACAAGGTAAGTGGATGGATGTGTTTGTCTCTCTCTATTTATGTCTGTGTCTCTCAGTGTCTCTGTGTGTCTCTGTCTCTATGTATCTGTCTGTGTCTCCGTGTATCTGACCCACCCACTCACTCACTTCCACTTTCTTTCTCTGTGTCTCTCTACTTATCTGTATATCTGTAGGACTCATACAAGGGTTGTCTTTCTCTCCTCTTTATTTGCCTCTTAGAGTCCACCTTCGCCGCGCCACCGCTCCGCGTCTCGGCACGGCCTCGCTCCGCTCCACGTCTCTCTGCTGCACCACCGCTCCGCGTCTCTCCGTACCCTCACTCCGCTCCGCGTCTCTCCGTGCCCTCTACCTCACTATCGCTACGCTTGTCGTCTCTACGGTTTCTCCTACTCTGCATCCTTCCGATGGATGGCTACTCTGGTTACTCACTGCGTTCTCGCTACCACTGTCTCTCCGTGCTTTACTCTACTAACACTGTCTCTCTACACCTTACTCTACTATCACTTGCTCTGCAACTCTCCAGGCACCGTTACTGCAGCTCCATCCACGACGCCGACTCGTACAGGACCCCCTTCTCTCCATTGCGCTCTGGCTTATATCCCCACACCAATTAAACTCCCTAATTATCTCTACCCCCCGCTTATCGCTCGCCCCCTGGCCCCCCCCCCCCCCCCCCCCCGTGTCACGTGGCCTTATTTTCGCTGCCGGAGCGACGCCAGCTAATGCCCAATTACCTTTCCAGCCAATCACTGGCCTGTGTCCGCCCGGCTACCCTGACACCTGTTTCAACCCTTAACGACCCACTTCGCCTAAAGTCACAACAACAACCATTACCTCACATCACCCCACTGTACTGTGCTTGCTTGCATAGCAACATAGGCGGGGGATGCGTGGCGCGCTATACTCAAGCCCTACATATCTATATATCTCTCTGTATCTCTCTCTACCTCTCTACCTATCTCTATATATCTCTCTGTATCTCTCTCTCTCCCTGTATCTCTCTATGTATCTCTCTGTATCTCTCTCTACCTCCCTCTCTCTCCGTGCAGGCCGAGTGCGTGACCTGCCCCCGTTCCCCTTTGCGGAGCGTCTGGCCGCCTTCCGTTTCCGCTCGCTGCTCACGCACGAGGAGGCTCTGCGGGCTCTGTGCTGCGCCAGCGTCGAGTGTGGACGCCTCTCCACCTCCTCCACCTCCTCCACCTCGTCCACCTCGTCCATGTGCCTCTTCCACATCAGCGCGGGCGGCAAGCCACAGCGGCTGGCCGACTTCCAGCAGATGCACGCGCAGACGCAGGCGCAGGTTTGTGTGTGTGTAAGTGTGTGTGAGTGTGTGTGTAAGTGTGTGTGTGTGAGTGTGTGTAAGTGTGTGTGCGTGTGTGTAAGTGTGTTTGTATAAGTGTGTGTGTAAGTGTGTGAGTGTGTGTGTAAGTGTGTGTGTGTGTGAGTGTGTTTGTATCAGTGTGTGTGTGTAAGTGTGTGTGTGTAAGTGTTTCCAACCACTCACTGGTTGGAAACATTTAGGCTGGCCTGCCTACGATACATCCTGGATTTAACCAGGCTGGATTGTGTGAGGAGCTCACAAATCCTTGAAAGATCTGGGCAAAGTCCCATCGGTGAGCTCCTCCGGCAGGCAAGGCTGCGTTGGCTGGGTCATGCAGCCCGCGTGCTGAGTCACCGCATGCCTAAACAGCTTTTGTTCGGCCGGATCAAGGGGGCTAAACGGGCGCGGCACGGGCTAGAGAAGAGATGGGCTGATGTGGTACAAGAGGATTTGGAGCTGAGAGGACTTGCCGATGACTGGTACCAGCGGTGTCAAGATCGGCCTCTGTGGAGGAGGCTCGTGAAGAACGCTACTGGGCAGTTGGAGGCAGTCGCCCTTCAGCAGCAACGGAGGGCAGAGGAGCGACGCTCACAACAACGAGCGGAGCGCCGGGCAGTTGAAACACAACAATTTGGCACAGTAGGGGGCACAGGTGGTGCATCAGCCAGTCATCTCAGTCAGTCTACCCATGAAACCTTCAGGGTTTGCCCCGTGACCTCCTGCCAGAGTGCGTTCGACACTTCACGTGGCCTCAATGTGCACATTGCCTGGCACAAGCGTCGTGGTGACGTCACCGCCACTTAGTGGCGAATGGCGGTTGTTGATGTTGTGGATGTGTGTCTGTGTGTGTGTAAGTGTGTGTGTTCCTCCTCCCCACTCCTCATCCACACTCCCCCTCCCCGCCCACTCCCCATCAGGGTCGGGGTCAAACCCACGACCTCCTGCGTAGCAGGCGTTAGGGATCGACCTCACGACTTACTGTATACCAGGCGAGGTCGTTAACATTTCCTAGCCCATGCAATTATACAGCAGGCGTGGTCAGGGTAAGGCTCAAATCCACGACCTCCTGCACACCGGCCGAGGGAATTAACATCTCCTCGCCACTGTGAATACACAACAGGCATCAGGGTTGGGATCGAGCCCACAACCTCCTGTATCCGAGCCCACAACCTCCTGTATCCACGGGAAGAAAGAGATGCAGACTCTGAATATACAACAGGAGGCGTCAGAGTCGGCATCGAACCCATGACCTCCTGCATACCAGGCGAAGGAATTAACATCTCTTAGCCACCGTTATGATGATGATGAGAAAGAGAGGTGCAGACTCCAAATCTACATCAACAGGCGTCATCAGGGTTGGGATGTAGCCCACGACCTCCTGTAGACCAGGCGAGGGAGTAAACATCTCCGAGCCACCGTGATGACGATGAGAAAAAGAGACGCAGACTCCAAATATACGGCCATAGCCATCGTCAGGGTCGGGATCGAATCCATGACCTCCTGTACACTGGGCAAGGGAGTTAACATCTCCGAGCCACCGTGATGACGATGAGAAAAAGAGACGCAGACTCCAAATATACGGCCATTGCCATCGTCAGGGTCGGGATCGAATCCACGACCTCCTGCACACCGGGCGAGGGAGTCAACATCTCCCCACTCATCTAACCCACGACCTCCTGCATACCAAGCGAGGTAGTCAACATCTCCCCACTGATCGAATCCACGACCTCCTGTAGACCAGGCGAGGGAGTCAACATCTCCTAGCCACCGTGATGACGATGAGAAAGAGAGACGCAGACTCCAAATATACAGCCATTGCCATCGTCAGGGTCGGGATCAAATCCACGACCTCCTGCACACCAGGCGAGGGAGTCAACATCTCCTAGCCACTGTGAATACATAACAGGCATCGTCAGGGTCGGGATCGAATCCACGACCTCCTGTGTACCAGGCGACGGAGTCAACATCTCCTAGCCACCGTGATGACGATGAGAAAGAGAGACGCAGACTCCAAATATACAGGCATAGCCATCGTCAGGGTCGGGATCGAACCCACGACCTCCTGCACACCGGGCGAGGGAGTCAACATCTCCTAGCCACTGTGAATACATAACAGGCATCAGGGTCGGGATCGAATTCACAACCTCCTGTAGACCAGGCGACAGAGTTAACATCTCCTAACCACCGTGATGACGATGAGAAAGAGAGACGCAGACTCCAAATATACGACCATTGCCATCGTCAGGGTCGGGATCGAACCCACGACCTCCTGCACACCAAGCGAGGTAGTCAACATCTCCCCACTGATCGAATCCACGACCTCCTGTAGACCAGGCGAGGGAGTCAACATCTCCTAGCCACCGTGATGACGATGAGAAAGAGAGACGCAGCCATTGCCATCGTCAGGGTCGGGATCGAATCCACGACCTCCTGCACACCGGGTGAGGGAGTCAACATCTCCCTCCCCCCTCTCCTCCGCAGGTGCAGCTCTTCCTGTGCGACTCGTGGCTGCCGTCTCTGGCTCAGGCTCTGCGCGGCGCCCTACTGGGCGCTGGCGGCAGCGCTGGCGGCGGCGCTAGCGCCACGCTGGACCCCGGCGAGCGCCGCTGGGACTCGTACCGCCGCTCCAAGCTGCGCCGTCTGCTGGAAGCGGTGCGCCTGCGCATGCAGTCTGCGCTGCGGCGCCTGGCGCTCGACTCTGTCGGCGCCTTCGCGAAGACGGTGCACGACGCTTGCCAGGGGGTCGGCGGTGGTGGTGGCGGTGGTGGTGGTGGTAGTGCTAGCGGGGCTGTCGGTGTTACCAACGCTACGGTTGACAACGCTGCCGGCACTAGCGACGCTACCAATGCTACCGGTACCGATGTTGCCGACGTTGCCGATGTGGGAGAGGAGCCGGGCGCGTTGGTGTGGGGTCCGGATCTCATCAACAGCCCCTACAAGTGAGGCGGTCTCCCTGCCTGCCTGCCTGCCTCCACCATCACCACCAGCATCATCACCACCACCATCACCACCATCATCACTACCATCACCACCATCACCACCACCACCAGCACCATCACCACCACCACCATCATCTCCACCACCATCACCACCACCATCACCACCACCATCACCACCACCAGCACCACCATCATCACCATCACCACCATCACCACCACCACCATCACCACCACCACCATCACCACCAGTGTGTGTGTGTGCGTCAGACCTAGGTGGAGCCCTCTGTTCGTGGTGTAGTACTATAGTAGTAGTAGTGTATAGTGTAGCGTAGCAGTGTGTGTGTGCATCAGACCTAGGAGAGGCCCTCTGTTCGTGGTGTAGTACTATAGTAGTAGTAGTAGTGTATAGTGTAGCATAGCAGTGTGTGTGTGTGTGTCAGACCTAGGAGAGGCCCTCTGTTCGTGGTGTAGTACTATAGTAGTAGTAGTAGTGTATAGTGTAGCATAGCAGTGTGTGTGTGTGTGTGTCAGGCCTAGGAGAGGCCCTCTGTTCGTGGTGGACTTGGTCATGGACTCTACTGACGTCCACTTCACCACTCCGCTGGAGCTCTTTGAGCCGACCATTGTGGAGTTGTTTGACAGCGGCATCCGCGCCACGCACAGCGTGCCCCAGCTGGAGAAGGTGTGTCCCTGTGTGTCCCTGTGTGTGTCTGTGGGTGTGTGTGTCTGTGTGTATGTCTGTGTGTGTCTGTGTGTGTGTGTCTGTGAGTGTGTTGTGTGTGTTGTGTGTGTCTGTGTGTGTGTCTGTGTGTGTCTGTGTGTGTGTCTGTGTGTGTGTGTCTGTGTGTGTGTTGTGTCTGTCTGTGTGTGTGTGTGTTTCTGTCTGTTTGGGTGTGTCTGTGTGTGTGTGGCTGTCTGTCTGTGTGTGTGTCTGTGTCTCTGTGTCTGTGTGTCTGTGTGTGTGTGTCTAAATGTGTGTGTGTGTGTCTGTTGGTGTAGGTGTGTGTGTCTGTGTGTGTGTCTCTGTGTCTGTGTGGGTGTGTCTGTGTGTCTGTGTGGGTGTGTTTGTGTCTGTCTGTGTGTGTGTGTGTCTAAATGTGTGTGTTTGTGTCTGTCTGTGTATGTGTGTCTCTCTGTCTGTCTGGGTGTGTCTGTGTGTGTGTGTGGCTGTCTGTCTGTCTGGGTGTGTGTATATGTGTGTCTGTCTGTATGTGTGTGTCTGTGTGTGTCTCACCGTGTGTCTCTGTGTGTGTCTCACCGTGCGTCTGTGTGTGTGTCTCATCGTGTCTGTGTGTGTCTCTGTATGTGAGTCTGTGTGTGTCTCACCGTGTGTCTGTGTGTGTGTCTCACCTTGTGTCTGTGTGTGTGTCTCTGTGTGTGAGTCTGTGTGTGTCTCTCTGTGTGTCTCTGGTTGTCTCTGTGTGTGTTTATCGCACCGTGTCTGTGTGTGTGTGTCTGTGTATGTCTATCTCACCGTGTCTGTGTGTGTGTGTGTGAGTCTGTGTGTGTCTGTCTCACCGTGTCTGTGTCTGTGTCTCTGTGTGTGAGTCTGTCTGTGTCTCACCGTGTGTGTCTGTGTGTCTGAGTCTGTGTGTGTGTCTACCCAGCTGGTGCTCCATGACATGTTCTTCAGCGGCACCCCGCTGCTGGAGTCTGTGGGTCTCTGGTTGTCTCTGTGTGTGTCTCATCGTGTCTGTGTGTGTGAGTCTGTGTGTGTGTCTGTGTGTCTCTCTGTGCGTGTCTGTCTCACCGTGTCTGTGTGTGTCTCTCTGTGTGTGAGTCTGTGTGTGTCTCACCGTGTGTCTGTGTCTCTCTGTCTCTCTATGTCTACCCAGCTGGTGCTCCAGGACATGTTCTTTAGCGGCACCCCGTTGCTGGAGTCTGTGGGTCTGCACGAACCGGCCGTGGAGGAGCTGCGCTTGGCGCTGGCCGCGTGCGTCCGCAGGGCGCTGGTGCCGGCACGAGCCTACGCAGACGCCCTGCGGCCACTCCTCGCCCTGCACAACGCCGACCCGGAGCAGCACGCCAGGTAGACGGTGTCCTTCACGTGCAACCCCCCCCCCGCCCGTGTCCCACGCATGTCCCACGCATGACCAACGCATGTCCCACCCCCCGTGTCCACCCCCCCCCACCCCCGCAGGGAGCACGTGACGGAGGCGAGCACCGTGGAGTCGGTGCGCGCGGAGCTCCGTCGCCTGCGCGCGGAGCTCCGCCGTGTGGAGGCGTCGCTGCCCCCGGCGATTGTGATCGGGCCGCTGTGGGTGGGCGTGGAGGAGCTGCGGCGCCAGCTGGTGCGCCGGTGCCAGGCGCTGTCTACCGCTACGCTGGGCGCGCTGGCGCGCACGCTCAGAAGCCAGGCGGACGCGGTACGCTCATGCGGAGAGAGACACGGAGAGAGAGAGACACGGAGAGAGAGACACGGAGAGAGAGAGACACGGAGAGAGACATGGAGAGAGGGAGATACGGAGAGAGGGAGACACGGAGAGAGAGAGAGAGAGAGACAAGGAGAGAGAGAGAGACACGGAGAGAGGGAGACACGGAGAGAGGGAGACACGGAGAGAGGGAAACACGGAGAGAGGGAGACACGGAGAGAGAGAGACACGGAGAGAGAGACACGGAGAGAGAGACACGGAGAGAGGGAGACACGGAGAGAGGGAGACACGCAGAGAGGGAGACACGGAGAGGAGACACGGAGAGAGCGAGACACGGAGAGAGAGACGGAGAGAGACACGGAGAGAGAGAGACACGGAGAGAGGGAGACACGGAGAGAGACACGGAGATAGACACGGAGAGAGACACGGAGAGAGTACTACATATCAGTAAACAGCGTGACGTGAGCAAACCAAACAATAGAAATGCATTGAAAAAAGGAGCTAGAATAAGTCTGCATTATAGAGCAGCAGTACGCACACTTAAGTTAACAAGCAGGCTACAGTCTAGTTTATAGACTGGCAGTACGCTGACTCAATGACCTAAGCATTGCTACAGTCGACATAATAAGCTGGCAATATGGTCAGCAGCTTAATAAGCAGGATACAGTCGACATGAAAGGCTGGCAGTACACTGAGCGAGGTAAAGAAGCAGGCGACAGAGTATAGACTGGCATACACTCACCCTGGCCAATTGCAATGTTTGCGGTGTAGGTAATGGACTGCCAGTGCACCGACTTTCATTCATAAGCAGGCAACAGGCCACACGACAGACCAGCTCCATAAAAAAGCACACGTGAATATTTTCATATTTTGCAACTTAATTTAGAAATGTTAGTTGTCTACACACAAACATTAATACTTGAATATTTCCAAGCTTATTTTTATAATAATAGATTGCTATGTACGTGAGTTTAGCGAAAGAAGCAATAACTTAGTACTTAACATTGCCGTGGTGAGGCCTAGTCCCGTGCAGAGCCCCCGGTCTCGCCTAGATTGGCCAGCCAACCGAGGTGGCACCTTGGCAGGCTGGGAGCTGGGCCACTATCCCCCCCCCCCACCATCTCCCACCATCTAGATTAGAAGTTTTCGTGACTGCAGGGATCCATACTCTTTCGATAAAGTGGTGTTGCCACTCCGCAGGCTTGCGAGGAGTTCCAGTCCATCGACCGCAAGGTCCACGAGCGGCCGAGCAGCCTCGAGGAGCTGGCGGAGCAGCGCGAGTGGATGCAGGGGGTGCCCCTCCTACTCAAGGATGTCTACGTGAGGGAGGGGGGGAGGGGGGGGGGGAGGGGGGAGGGGGGGGGAGGGAGGGAGGGGGCAGGGAGGGGGAAGGGAGGGGGGGATGCAGGGGGTGCCACTCCTACTCAAGGACGTCTACGTGAGGGAGAGGGGGGGGGGTTCAAGCCCCGGGTCTGGCTGGGTCCCTCCATAATGGCCTCACTCCCTTTCATCCACTACCTCCCCCCTCCCCACCGCCCTCCCTCCTCATCCCCTCCACCCCCTCTCCTCCTCCCTTCCTCCCTGCCCACCCCTCCTCCCTCGACTCTCTCCCCATACCAGAGGTCGCAACCGGGTACCCGATACCTGTACCCTACCCGATACCCGGCTACCCGTACCTGGCTGGGTACGGGTAGGCCGTGAGTCACTGGTGAGTCACCGTTTGTCACTCATTTCCCAACGTCTTGTCTCTTCTCACAATTCAAGTTCCTAGAATCAGCCCACCCGCGCCTGCAACATGGCTTCATCCCAGAGGTCGCAATCGGGTACCCGTACCCTACCCGATACCCGGCCGGGTACGGGTAGCCGGGTAGGATACGGGTACGGCCGGGTACGGTTACCCGTTTGCGACCCTGGTGCGGCTGGGTACGGGTAAGGAATCAAAACCCGTTTGCGACCTCTGCCCCATACCCTTCCGCTCCCCTACCTCCCAGAAATAATCTTCTCACTACCTCCCCCCCCTTCACCCCCCCCCCCCCTTCACCCCCCCCCTTCACCCCCCTCCCTCGTCACCCCCCCCCTTCACCCCCCTCCCTTCACCCCCTCTCCCCTTCACTCCCTCTCCCCTTCACCCCCCCATCCCAGGACCGCGTTGTCACGACGACGCCGGCCTATGATCTGCTGGAGGAGTTTGGCTACAGCCTCTCCAGTGAGGACTTCAGCGCCAGGTGAACGACTCCTCCTGCCTCTGTGTGTGTCTATCTGTGTGTGTGTTTATTTGTGTGTGTGTGTGTGTATCTGTGTGTGTGTTTCTATCTGTGTGTGTCTATCTGTATGTGTGTGTGTCTATCTGTGTGTGTGTCTATCTGTGTGTGTCTATCTGTGTGTGTGTGTCTCTCTGTGTGTGTGTCTATCTGTGTGTGTCTATCTGTGTGTGTGTGTCTATCTGTGTGTGTCTATCTGTGTGTGTGTGTGTGTATCTATCTGTGTGTGTCTATCTGTGTGTGTGTCTATCTGTGTGTGTGTGTGTGTCTATCTGTGTGTGTGTCTATCTGTGTGTGTGTCTATCTGTGTGTGTGTCTATCTGTGTGTGTCTATCTGTGTGTGTGTGTGTCTATCTGTGTGTGTCTATCTGTGTGTGTGTCTATCTGTATGTGTGTGTGTCTATCTGTGTGTGTGTGTGTCTATCTGTGTGTGTGTGTCTATCTGTGTGTGTGTGTCTATCTGTGTGTGTGTCTATCTGTGTGTGTCTATCTCCTGTGTGTGTGTCTATCCCCTGTGTGTATCTATCTCCTGTGTATGTGTCTCTGTATGTGTGTCAATCTTCTGTGTGTGTCTATCTCTGTGTGTGTCTATCTGTGTGTGTCTATCTGTGTGTGTGTGTGTGTCTATCTGTGTGTGTGTGTCTATCTGTGTGTGTGTCTATCTGTATGTGTGTGTGTCTATCTGTGTGTGTGTGTCTATCTGTGTGTGTGTGTGTCTATCTGTGTGTGTGTCTATCTGTGTGTGTGTCTATCTGTGTGTGTCTATCTCCTGTGTGTGTGTCTATCCCCTGTGTGTATCTATCTCCTGTGTATGTGTCTCTGTATGTGTGTCAATCTTCTGTGTGTGTCTATCTCTGTGTGTGTCTATCTGTGTGTGTCTATCTGTGTGTGTGTGTCTATCTGTGTGTGTGTGTGTCTATCTGTGTGTGTGTCTATCTGTATGTGTGTGTGTCTATCTGTGTGTGTGTGTGTCTATCTGTGTGTGTGTGTCTATCTGTGTGTGTGTGTCTATCTGTGTGTGTGTCTATCTGTGTGTGTCTATCTCCTGTGTGTGTGTCTATCCCCTGTGTGTATCTATCTCCTGTGTATGTGTCTCTGTATGTGTGTCAATCTTCTGTGTGTGTCTATCTCCTGTGTGTGTGTGTCTATTTCCTCAGTGTGTCTATCTCTCTAGCTAAGCTTGTGCCGGAGACCCCGGGGGGACAGGCGTCAATGACGTCTCTTGGCCAAACCCCATTTGGCGGAGCCAGGAGACTGAATCCTTACCCATCGGGGCTCCTCCAGATACAGCAAAAAGCCACTGCGGGTGGCCACGTGGAATGTTTGAACACTCACTGCGGAGGAGAGGCTGCCACTCCTCTGTCGGGAGCTGGACTGGTACCGCCTGGATCTCCGCGGCACTCAGGAGGTCCGGTGGACCGGCTCTGGCTCCTGCCACCATGAGTGTTGGACAGTCCTCTACTCGGGGAAGGAGACTGCCAAACAACAGGGAGTGGCTCTTCTTCTGAATAAAAGAATGAAAGGGGCGTGGGAGCGTGGCGGTGAGGTGTGGGAAGCTCTAAGCCCCAGGCTACTGTGTGCTCACCTTCCCATCAACCGGAGGCGAGGAATTGTGGTGATGATGGTTGCTTTACTCGCCCACCGAAGATGAACATCAGTGGAGGGATGCAGGCAAGGCCAATGATTCAGATTATGATGAGTCAGATTGCTTCCTCCTGTCACAGGTGCTATCTAAAGTAGCCCTTCGGGATAGAGTCATCTTGTTGGGTGACCTTAATGCCCGAGTAGGTCATGATGCTGGTACCTGGGCTGGAGTGATTGGAAGGCATGGGTCAGATCAGCTCAATAACAATGGTAGGAGGCTGCTAGATTGTTGTGCAGCCCATAGGCTTGTAATTACCAACACGCAGTTCTGGCATCGGCGCATCCACACAACATCATGGATGCATGCCGGGTCCAAGCAAGAACATCTGCTGGACTACATAGTGACGGAACAGCGGATGCGAGCCCATGTCCTTGACACCAGAACCTACCGTGGAGCTGATCTGCCCTCTGACCATCGGCTTGTGACCTGCAAGATGCGCCTGCCATTCTTCCACTCCGGTGGTGGGTGTACACCCAGGACCCCATTCAAAGTGACAGTGGCCTTGTCTCAGCTAGCTGATGAAAGTTGCAAGTGAGAATTTCATCATTGCTTGCAGCTGGGGTTGGCATCGTCCCCCCCCTCCCCCTGATGCTGAGGAGAAATGAGTGAGGGTTAGGACTGTGGCTCATGCAGCTGCAATGGTTGCTTTGGGTACACGGTCCAAACCTGTTCAGACACCCTGGCTGACAGAGGAGGTGTTCAGGATGGTTGAGAAAAAGCGACAGGCCCACTCTAATCGTCTACAGCATCCCACATCAGAGAATGAGGACGCTTAATGCAGCCTTTGCTCGGAGGTTCGGAGAGCCTTGAGATGTTGCAAGGATGGGTGGTGGTCGCGGGTTGCTGAGGAGATGGAATCTGCCTCAGTAGCTCGCGATCATGAATCACTATTTAACTCCATCAAAAAGTAACCTACAGCGCCACACCTATTACCATCATTAGGGGAGAAAACGGTGATCCAATCTCCGACCCCCAGGAACAGGTTTGCAGATTTGCTGAGTATTTCTGTGAGGTACTGGGGGAGGGGAAATCCCTCAGCCAGGAAAACATCGTGGCACAAAGTGGGGATAACCCTGCTGAGGCTGCGGTGCCTCAAATATTGGAAGAGGAAGTCACCCCCTGTGAGTGGCTGGCTGAGGTGCCATCTGTTGAGGAAGTACTGATGGCGATCCAGTGTCTGAGACCAGGAAAGGCACCGGGCAGAGGTGATCTCCCAAGCGAAATGCTGAGGGAGGGTGGCGTTTGTGCACAGACTGCCCAACATGACATCATAACAACAGTCTGGACCACTGGTCTGGTAGGATGCCCTGGTGGTCCCCCTCTTTAAGAAGGGGGACCGCACAGACTGTATCAACTACAGGGGCATCATTCTCCTCAGTGTGCTGGGAAAGGTCCTGGAAAGGATTATTCAACATCGCCTTGCCAGGCACGCTGAGGAGAGGTTTGCAGAGCCCAAATGTGGTTTCAGGCCAGGGCGGACCTGCACAGATGCCATATTTTCTGTCTGTTTACAACACCAGAGGTGTAGGGGATTCTAACAGGACATGCATCTCTGCTTTATTGACCTGGTCAAGGCCTATGATACCATCAGTAGGCCTGGGCTCTGGGTTGTTCTTCGTGCTTTCGGAGTCCCTGACCCTCTGCTCACCATCATTAAGGACCTTCATGATGGTGAGCCAACCCGGGTAAAGCTACGTGGCCGGGAGTCAGAGCCATTCCCTGTACACCTTGGGGTGCGACAGGGATGTCCTCTGGCTCACACATTATTTAACATCTATTTTGACCATGCGTGCCCGTGCGTGTGCCTGTGTGCGCGCCTGTAGGTGGAGCGCGCTGGGCTGGCCGCTGCGAGCGACGCGCCGGCTTCAGGAGGTGCAGCAGAAGCAGCAGGTGGAGGAGGAGGAGCGCTTCCGGGCGGTGCAGCAGCACGACCTCAACGCCTTCCACGAGCGCCACGACTCCCTGCAGGCACCGACACACACAGAGACACACACAGAGACACACACACACAGAGACAGACGCCCACTGGCAGGAGGTCACGGGGCAGACCCAGATGCCACAGGTCGACTGACTGAGATGAGTGGCTGATGCACCACCTGTGCCCCCTACTGTGCCAACTTGCTGTGCTTTAGCCACCCGGCGCTCCGCTCGTTGTTGTGAGCGTCGCTCCTCCGCCCTCCGTTGTTGTTGGAGGGCGACTGCCTCCAACTGCCCAGTAGCGTCCTTCACGAGCCTCCTCCACTGAGGCCGATCTTGACACCGCTGGTACCGGTCATCGGCAAGTCCACTCAGCTCCAAATCCTCCTGTACCACATCACTCCATCTCTTCTCTAGCTCGTGCCGCGCCCGTTTAGCCCCCTCTATCCGGCCGAACAAAAGCTGTTTAGGCATGCGGTGGCTGGGCATGCGGGCTACATGACCAGCCAACGCAGCCTTGCCTGCCGGAGGATCTCACTGATGAGACTTTGCCCAGATCTTTCAAGGATTTGTGAGCTCCTCACACAATCCAGCCTGGTTAAACCCAGGATGGATAGTGGGCAGGGCAGCCTAAATGTTTCCAACTGGCGAAGATGCTCCATTAGGGGGGTCCACGTTTCGCAAGCGTAGAGAAGGGAGGGAATGACCGTGGCCGAGAAGACCTGAAGCTTCGTGTGGAGCGACAGACCAGGTAGCTTCCACACAGCGTTACGCAACCGATGAAAAGATATTGCCGCTCGACTGATTCGGAGTGAGACCTCTGCTGATAAACTGGAGCCGGTCATAAGCACACTGCCCAGGTATGGGAAACTCTCCACTCTCACCACAACTGCCCCATCACCGATTGGGAGTTGTGGGGGTGGAGTGTCCGATGGTACAAAATACCCAGGCAGGTTCTTAGTTTTGGTGGGGCTGATGGTAAGGCCCCACCTCTTAGTGGCACGCTCCAGTCTCAGCAGCAGCGTCTCCAACTCCTCTTCTGAATGAGCAGCTATTACCAAATCATCGGCATACATAACGTGGTTGACCAATAGGGAGCCATCCCTTGATCGCACCCGACACACAGACACACACAGACACGCACACCATGGGGTTGTCTGTCTGTACCGCCCATACACCGTTGTGGTTTCCATAGATGGCGGTGGCCGGCTTCAGCGCCCACACCGAGGCTTCGCGTGCGCACGAGACGGCCAACGAGGCGCGCCGCCTGGCCAAGCAGCTGCGGGAGTGTCAGCAGCTGGCGCAGCTCTACAACAGCCGCCAGCGCCTGCTGGGACAGCCACTCACCAACGTGAGACTCGCACACACGCAGACTCACACACACATAGACACACATAGACTCACACACGCGGAGAGACACACACACAGACATAGATAGAGACACACACACACACATAGAGACACACACACACACATAGACACACACACACATAGACTCACACACACAGACACATAGACTCACACACACACATAGACTCACACACACACACATAGACTCACACACACACACACAGCTCTACAACAGCCGCCAGCGCCTGCTGGGACAGCCACTCACCAACGTGAGACTCGCACACTCAGACTCACACATAGAGACACACACACACATATAGACTCACACACACACATAGACACACTCGTAGCACACACACACATAGACTCACACACACACACACATAGACTCACACTCACACACGTAGCACACACACACATAGACTCACACACAGAGAGCCATAGACTCACACACACACATAGACTCACACACACACATAGACTCACACACACACACATAGACTCACACACACACACATAGACTTACACACACACATAGACTCACACACACACACATAGACTCACACACTCAGAGAGCCGTAGACTCACACACTCAGAGAGCCGTAGATTCACCACACAGACAACCGTAGATTTACCACACAGAGAGCCATAGATTTACCACACAGAGAGCCATAGATTCACCACACACAGAGCCGTAGATTCACCACACAGAGAGCCATAGATTCACCACACACAGAGCCGTAGATTCACCACACAGAGAGCCGTAGATTCACCACACAGACAGCCATAGATTCACCACACAGAGAGCCATAGATTCACCACACAGAGACTGTAGATTCACCACACAGAGAGCCGTAGATTCACCACACAGAGAGCCATAGATTCACCACACAGAGAGCCATAGATTCACCACACAGAGAGCCATAGCTTTGCCACACAGAGAGCCATAGATTCACCACACACAGAGCCGTAGATTCACCACACAGACAGCCATAGATTCACCACATAGAGACTGTAGATTCACCACACAGAGAGCCATAGATTCACCACACAAAGAGCCGTAGATTCACCACACAGAGAGCCATAGATTCACCACACAGAGAGCCATAGAGTCACCACACAGAGAGCCATAGATTCACCACACAGAGACCCACAGACTCACCACACAGAGACCCACAGACTCACCACACAGAGACCCACAGACTCACACAGAGACCCATAAACTCACCACACAGAGACCCACAGACTCACCACACAGAGACCCACAGACTCACCACACAGAGACCCACAGACTCACCACACAGAGACCCACAGACTCACACAGAGACCCATAAACTCACCACACAGAGACCCTCAGACTCACCACACAGAGACCCACAGACTCACCACACAGAGACACACAGACTCACCACACAGAGACCCACAGACTCACCACACAGAGACCCACAGACTCACCACACAGACACCCACAGATTCACACAGAGAGCCACAGACTCACCACACAGAGACCCACAGACTCACCACACAGAGACCCACGAACTCCCCACACAGAGACCCACAGACTCACCAAACAGAGACCCACAGACTCACACATAGACCCACAGACTCACCACACAGAGACCCACAGACTCACACAGAGACCCACAGACTCACCACACAGAGACCCACAAACTCACACAGAGACCCACAGACTCACCACACAGACACCCACAGACTCACACAGAGACCCACAGACTCACCACACAGACTCACCACACAGAGGCCCACAAACTCACCACACAGAGGCCCACAAACTCACCACACAGACTCACCACACAGACTCACCACACAGACTCACCACACAGACACCCACAGACTCACCACACAGAGAGCCATAGATTCACCACACAGAGAGCCATAGATTCACCACACAGAGAGCCATAGCTTTGCCACACAGAGAGCCATAGATTCACCACACACAGAGCCGTAGATTCACCACACAGACAGCCATAGATTCACCACACACAGAGACTGTAGATTCACCACACAGAGAGCCATAGATTCACCACACACAGAGCCGTAGATTCACCACACAGAGAGCCATAGATTCACCACACACAGAGACTGTAGATTCACCACACAGAGAGCCATAGATTCACCACACAGAGAGCCGTAGATTCACCACACAGAGAGCCATAGATTCACCACACAGAGAGCCATAGAGTCACCACACAGATAGCCATAGATTCACCACACAGAGACCCACAGACTCACCACACAGAGACCCACAGACTCACCACACAGAGACCCACAGACTCACACAGAGACCCATAAACTCACCACACAGAGACCCACAGACTCACCACACAGAGACCCACAGACTCACCACACAGAGACCCACAGACTCACCACACAGAGACCCACAGACTCACACAGAGACCCATAAACTCACCACACAGAGACCCACAGACTCACCACACAGAGACCCACAGACTCATCACACAGAGACCCACAGACTCACACAGAGACCCATAAACTCACCACACAGAGACCCACAGACTCACCACACAGAGACCCACAGACTCACCACACAGAGACCCACAGACTCACCACACAGAGACCCACAGACTCACCAGACAAAGACCCACAGACTCACCACACAGAGACCCACAGACTCACCACACAGAGACACACAGACTCACCACACAGAGACCCACAGACTCACCACACAGAGACCCACAGACTCACCACACAGACACCCACAGATTCACACAGAGACCCACAGACTCACCACACAGAGACCCACGAACTCCCCACACAGAGACCCACAGACTCACCAAACAGAGACCCACAGACTCACACAGAGACCCACAGACTCACCACACAGAGACCCACAGACTCACACAGAGACCCACAGACTTACCACACAGAGACCCACAGACTCACCACACAGAGACCCACAGACTCACACAGAGACCCACAGACTCACCACACAGACACCCACAGACTCACACAGAGACCCACAGACTCGCCACACAGACTCACCACACAGACACCCACAGACTCACCACACAGAGACCCACAGACTCACCACACAGACTCACCACACAGACTCACCACACAGACTCACCACACAGACTCATCACATAGAGACCCACAGACTCACCACACAGAGACCCACAGACTCACCAAACAGAGACCCACAGACTCACACAGAGACCCACAGACTCACCACACAGAGACCCACAGACTCACACAGAGACCCACAGACTCACCACACAGAGACCCACAGACTCACCACACAGAGACCCACAGACTCACACAGAGACCCACAGACTCACCACACAGACACCCACAGACTCACACAGAGACCCACAGACTCACCACACAGACTCACCACACAGACACCCACAGACTCACCACACAGAGACCCACAGACTCACCACACAGACTCACCACACAGACTCACCACACAGACTCATCACATAGAGACCCACAGACTCACCACACAGAGACCCACAGACTCACCACACTGAGACCCACAAACTCACCACACAGAGACCCAAATACTCACCACACAGAGACCCACAGACTCACCACACAGAGACCCACAGACTCACCACACAGAGACCCACAGACTCACCACACAGAGACCCACATACTCACCACACAGAGACCCACAGACTCACCACACAGAGACCCACAGACTCACCACACAGAGACCCACAGACTCACCACACACCCCTCACTCCCCACCCCGCAGTACGACAAGCTGGGCACGGCGGCGCGCGAGTTCCAGCCCCTGTGCGACCTGTGGTCGACCGTGTCGAGCTGGCAGCGCTGGCGCCAGGCCTGGCTGCACGACCCGCTGGCGTCGGTCGACGGCGAGCAGATGGAGCGCAGCGTCGCTGAGGCCCACCGCACCATCCTCAAGTGCGCCAAGGCCCTGCGCGACGTGCCAGGTGCGGTGCACAACAACCGCCGTGGGGCAGGGAGAGAGACTCAGGTAGGGGCAGGGAGTGAGACTCAGGGGCAGGGAGAGAGACTCAGGTAGGGGCAGGGAGAGAGACTCAGGTAGGGGCAGGGAGAGAGACTCAGGCAGGGGCAGGGAGAGAGACTCAGGCAGGGAGAGAGACTCAGGTAGGGAGAGAGACTCAGGCAGGGAGAGAGACTCAGGGGCAGGGAGAGAGACTCAGGGGCAGGGAGAGAGACTCAGGGGCAGGGAGAGAAACTCAGGGGCAGGGAGAGAGACTCAGGGGCAGGGAGAGACACGGGTAGGGAGAGAGACTCAGGCAGGGAGAGAGACTCAGGGGCAGGGAGAGACACTCAGGCAGGGAGAGAGACTCAGGCAGGGAGTGAGACTCAGGGGCAGGGAGAGAGACTCAGGGGCAGGGAGAGAGAATCAGGGGCAGGGAGAGAGACTCAGGTAGGGAGAGAGACTCAGGGGCAGGGAGAGAGACTCAGGGGCAGGGAGAGACACTCAGGTAGGGAGAGAGACTCAGGCAGGGAGAGAGACTCAGGCAGGGAGTGAGACTCAGGGGCAGGGAGAGAGACTCAGGGGCAGGGAGAGAGACTCAGGTAGGAAGAGAGACTCAGGTAGGCCCAGGGAGTGAGAGGCCTTCAGTTGTCGATCCCATTTGAAAACTCCGGTTATGAACAACTGAAGGCAAAACACATTTTGAGAACCGGCGGTGGACTGACCGATGAATCTCTCCGGCAACGCATCGATGCCCCCCCCCCTCACCCCCCCCCCGCCCCCCCCGCCCCCCTCCGCCCCCCCCGCCCCCCCCACCCCTCCAGGCTGCCACGAGGTGGCGTTAGAGGTACGCGCCGAGATCGAGGAGTTCCGCCCGCTGGTTCCGCTGCTGCGTG